AATTCTCATTTTCAACCACACATTTTTCAATAAAATAATATTTTCCATCACATCAATAATCTTATCTTCTTTTTCAACCACACATTTCCCATCATATCACTATTCAAAATCAATTCTTCCCCCAAAAAATCCCTACCAAACAAGCTCTTAAATATAAATTTGGCAAATGTGCATTGCACGTTGCTTGCACCTAGTGAACTAGTAATGTCGATAGATATACCAAGAATTTTATTAACTCTTCTAAGCCGCTCTTAAAAGTTTGTGGTAGGCTAAAAGTTTCCACAAAGGCCATAAAGGAGGCAGGTGACTTTCTAATATAGTTAGGTATGAATGATAACATATTGTTCCTTAATTAGTTGGGAAATGCTTTTAGGTTTAAGAGGTTTTCGTGTTATACGAGTAGTGAGGTGTCGATTGAAGATTGGATACGTTAGAAAATAAAGCGATACTTTTTTAGTTAAAAAATAAGTCCGTACTTGTTTAACCTACAAAAGTTGATAAAGATTTAAATGAAAATCAATAAATAATTTTAACCGTACTTTTTATGAGATTTAAAATTTTCATCTATTTTTCAAACACACAGTTCATCAACTTTTATCAAAATTTATTAAAAATCCAATTTTAACAAAGTAAAAAGCAACTAATTGTTTACGAAGTGAGCAATGAAACGGAAGAGAAAAGGTAAAATGTGCAATAACCAACCTCAAATTTTAATAAGAAAATTGTTTGCTATATATGTTGGATATATGTGTGTAATATATTTTCGAATAATTTTTTCCGAAAAAAAAAATCTAATAATAATAATCCTTTGTTAGTAAGAAATTTCTTGAGGGACAAAAATATGTGGGTTTTGTTTCTACCCACGAAAACAATCCTAATTTTGTTTTCAAACATGTAATGATATAAGATTGACTACAAGAATTCCTCAATATTCTAATATCTTTAAATTTCTTGATGCTTTTTGTTTTATTATTTAGACAGATGATGGACCTGCAAAACAACTCGCATTTAAGAGTCATTTTATACGAATAATTAATTATTCAACATTTTACATAATTGCACAATAATATTAGTCATATATGGCATACTTAAACTTTTCTATTTATTCGATTTCTGAAACATGTGATCTTTAGAGCTTGTTTAGTAGGGATTTTTTGGGGGAAGAATTGATTTTGAATAGTGACATGATGGGAAATGTGTGGTTGAAAAAGAAGAAAAAATTATTGATGTGATAGAAAATATTATTTTATTGAAGAATGTGTGGTTGAAAATGAGAATTGATTTACTGTAGAAAAATCAAAATTTCTCCCAAACAGGGCCTTAGGCTAATTGATTTTGAATAGTGATATGATGGGAAATGTGTGGTTGAAAAAGAAGAAAAAATTATTGATGTGATGGAAAATATTATTTTATTGAAGAATGTGTGGTTGAAAATGAGAATTGATTTACTGTAGAAAATGAGAATTCCTACCATACAGGCCCTAAGATAAGAATTTTATCGAAGAGATTATAAATACTACTAAAATTCGAACATATTACCATAAATGAAAATTGAAAATTAACATAATACTAAGTCAAGTCAGCATGCGATCAAGTCACATAGAATTTTTCGTTTAATAGTGGGAGATTAATCGGATGACTTAACTCACAAAAAAAAAGTTGTAAATTGACATATGATGTCTCTATATGTCCTACTTAAAGAACCTAAGAACCCATTTGATATGCTTTTTGAGAAGTCAAAATGAATTTTTATTTTGAAAGGTGAAGTTATTTTAGAAATTAATTTTCAAACACCAATTAAAATAGCGTCCTCAAAATGTTATTCTACAAGAAACATAAGTCTTATCAAATGGATCCTAGATTTATCTTCCAACTTATTCTCATGCCTAGATATTTGAAGTTGCAAGGGATGATGATTCAATAATTAATAATTTGTTTTCTAATAGTGTGACATTCTCTAAGTTATATTATTTA